AGAACTTGCACGCTACTCGAATCCTGCAATTGCAGAATGCGGAAGACAGGAGTAATGAATCGCTGGCATGTGCTATAGACTATATAATAGACGACGCTCCTCTAGAGAACGATTAGTGTTTATGGCTGAGCCTAGAATTTATTCTAGATATTAAATATATAGGCCTAAATTCGATATGTCTTTTAGAAACAGAGAAAGTGGTCAGTAAAAACTGGAACTCGTTTGTATTTGCAAAATAATTATCGTATTTAATAAAATAATAAGAAATGCAGAAGGAATTCAAATACATTGAAATGTGAAAATCTAAGATAAAGAAATAACAATAGTAAATATTTTAAAATATCCGTAGCTAGACACGCTTGAATTCTCCCTAAAGATGTTCGTGGGAGAAACACAGCCAATGCGCTTTCAAAATGTTTAGTACGGTTATAATTTAAATAGGGCAACACAACACAGTACACATGATCAAATGATTACCATAATATTAAGGTAGATCCAAAAAAAAACTATAGTTATGAACATGATGATTTGTTCTATGTCTGGGTATAGTTTATCTACACAAATAAATAAAAAAAATACAGTCGAATTGAGAACCGCCTCCTTTTTTTAAGTCGGTTAAAAATTGAAGTGTCTGTTTGTAATGTCAAAATAATGGGTTTCATTCATGCTCACACGGTTATTTGCAAGATATCTATGCCTAAAAACCCATTTAAATATTTTTTGTCTGTCTGTATATCTGTCTGTTTGTTCCGGATAATCTTCAAAACGACTGGACCGATTTTGATAATATTTTACTAGCTGTACCTAAGTATATACAAGGAGTAACTTAAACTTTTTCCTCTCAGAAAAACCCTATAAAAATTAAAACGGGCCGGGAATCGAAGCCACAAAGGCAGCGCTTTTCAAATTCCACGTGAACGAAGTCACCAGCTAGTCGTTGATAAAAATATACTTAACAAGTTTATCAGCTATCTGGTAACCATAGTACAAGCTCTGCCTAGTTTGGGATCAGACGACCGTATACGCCTAAGTTATGGTTAACAGTTAATACACGTAGCAGTCAGTAATATTACTTATTATTGACGCAAATGTGACTGGTACCTACTCCTTTTATCTTTACTACTCAACTGATAATCCAGTAATTTTGTACAAATATTGTCTGGTATTCAAAAAAGATATAGACCAACTCTCATCCAAGAAAAGCACACTTTTCCTGAGGTAAATAATAACGTGAATGGAGCCGCCGACAAAGGCTAACATTATCATAAGATAAATCAGTGATTCTAACACATACAAACATCATGTAACTTATTTATTGCATGCAAAATGTGTGCAAAATCAGGCATAGTAACATGCATAAAACTTAGCAATGTTTTATAGTAATAATCTAAAAACTTCTGTCGGACGTGCTATGGCGACAATATCTATGGACGTGTCGAGAATACTTAGTATTTTATTTATTTGTAGTGCTGATTATACTCGCACTAGCCACGATCGGCGGACATGGAAGTATGCCGATGTTACTCTTAATTTTAACTCTTGGCGACAAGACAACAATATAGAAACGAAACAAGCTAATTATAGACATAAAAAAAAAAACGCCTACGTGAAAATGTATAGCTAAATAATATTTATAAACCGGTGATTTAAGTTTTATAGTTTTCATGTCCTAGTGTCACTCTCACAATTAAGACGAATCGACGACACCTCAAACGTAAAAATCCATCAAGCCGTTTACGCTAGGTTTATGAAAAAATAACCCTCCTTTTGGCGCAGGGATAAAAATGGATCCCAATATTGATTTTAAAGTCCACTATCTGTATATCTATGCCATTTAAGTGAACAGAAGACTAATTCTCGTAATAAAATTTCGGTCTCAATTCAGTTCCGATCAACTTTTGATCTCACAATTGTCATAAAAGGTATTTTCGTAGTAAAGTATTAAACGTCCAACGTTGACTGTAATGTGATTATATCGTATTGTAACCGAAAATTGAATCGGTAATCTGCTAGTCTTTAGTAATACTTTACTACTTTACACACGCGTTTCACGGCACTAAGCTTGTCCCATATTACGTAGATGGGACTAAAACCACAGTTATCAAAATATGGGTGTTTAATACGACTGGTTTCCCCTTGAAGATATTTTGAAAGTATAAGTAACAATAATAATATTTCAGATATCTGACACAACGCCATCCAGTTTCACACTAAGCAGAGCTTGTACCATGAAATCTAGATTGACTCATAGAATATTTATATACTAATTATTTTTTGTAAATACATGGAGAACACCCAAACTCCGAAACAAATTTTTGCAGATCATAGACTGTACGAATCTCACTAGAATGTTAATTGGTTTTCTTTCAGATAATAATAAGTAATTAAATGAGATTTTAATGGATTTCCTTAAGTATTTAACAACAAAGTTTTCCGTTTTTCGTTTGATGTTCAAGTGTTTCAGCAACCAAAATTAAGAAAAGGAAACAAACTAAATACATTTCCTTGCTCATTGTGGTTTGTTTAATTTGTTTGAGACTTCTGAAGTAATTACTTTTTAACCGACTGCGCCAAAAGGAGGGTGTGTATTTCGAGTGTATGTATGTATATTTCTTTGGCATGCTCTATAGTCTATTTTTTTTTACATTAGAGGGGGTTGACGAGCAGACGGGTCACCTTATGGAAAGTGAACGTCTGAAATTCAGGAATCACAAACGCGTTGCCGGCCGTTTCTTGAAGGTTTAAAGGTCGTATAGGTATCTTCCGTGTTGTCCGTCCGTCCGTGTGGACGGATTAAGAATACGAAATGTCGCCATCCCAATTCATCCCGTGGGTGTCGTAAGAGCCAACTAAGGGAGCAAACTACGCAGGACAACAGCACTGCAAAGAAAAGGGAAACTTGAAACAAACCTTAGATCAACCCGTCTGGCCAGCGTGGTATAGTAGACCAAAACCTCCTTTCTAAGGAGAGGTCTATGTCCAGCAGTGGACTGTTATAGCCCAATATTGCTTTATGGATTTTGGCTTGGGAGTGTTAGGTTCGTCTTTATAATGAAAGTCCAGAGTCAGTCCCATAATTAAGACGAATCTAAAGATGCTTATACACTTTTACGGAATGGGGTTTTTAGTTTTTATTTTCAATAATTAGCTTGTAAAGCTTCCATGTAAATGCCACCCGCGTGTATCTTTTTTTTTTTTTTTGCCGTGCGGAAATCCCCTCGGATACCATCTATCGGTGGCATGTCGGACTCGAACTGACTAAAACCGCACGCCGTCTCGGGTACTAATAGCCGGGGCGCCCGCGTGTACCTATGTCGGTTTTCGCGCTAATAGTAGCTTCTGTTACTCGCTGATAGAATGACAGTGAAAGATTTTTTTAAATCGGTTTAGTGGTTTATGCGTGAAAGCGTAACAAACAAACTCTCTTTCACATTTATTATTGTATAGGTATGGATTAATTTAGAAGCGCTTCTGTTTCGGTAACCGCGGCTTTTAGAAATCAAGTTCGGAACTTTAGCCATATATTGTTTGAAATATAAAACGAGTTGAGAGTTATGAATAAAGTTTTTGAGAGATTTTCAAAAGATTCGATAATAATTTTATTTGAATAGGTACGACAAATAAAAGTTTTCGATGACAGGTTGACTTTAATTAATATTAACTCCATTTAAAAGGTTTTTTGCCCAGTTTTTTTTCTATTTTTCTAAAAACAGACAACTCTCGCATTACAAACAGTAGCAGTCGTAGTAGTAGCCTGGGTGTGGGTGTCTACATGAAACGGACATAAAGAACAGCACCCAGACTCAGAACAGCAATTTGTGGATAACACAAAGTGTCGTTCCATGTGGGGATCGGAACCTAACACTCAGCGTAGTTGGAAGCGGCATGGCGACCGCTTAAACCACTACGCTATCCGTGCAGTCTATTTTATAATTTTATTTTTACTTTGAAGCTGAAATGTTTTTTTTTAATTGTTTTTATATTTGTATAACGTGGGGGGCTCATGGCTAATTTATAACAGAGTAAGTTAACACATTGCAAAGTTAAGCAATCGTAGCCAGGTCAGTCTACGGATAGGTATGGCGACAATTCTTAACCCATTGAGACTCCAGGTCCCGGTTGCCATACAAACATCTGTGGCAATCGTTACGGATAGTTCATCATCATCATCATCAGTCTATCGCAGTCCACTGCTGGACTACGCCTCTCTTCTCTTCTTCGGGTAGTTGGAGCCCTAAAAAGTCCAACAACAGTATTTCTACAGAACTTCGATATCGCCTAGTACTTGGGTTGTGGAGGTCTGATGGCAGTCACTCCGCCTAAAAACTCGAAGTTCAGCCGTATCGTAGTTGACTTAAAGCCGACCCCAACCTGGTTTGGGAAAAAGGCTCGGAGGAAGAGGAAGAAGAAATTTGTATAATATAACTATATGTCAAATTCGAATATTTTTTTAATTTGGATAGAATATTTGCAATTCTATACCTCTTAAAAGTGGAGCAGTGATGCAGGTGAAATAGCGGGAGACGGCTAGGCTAGTTAATACTATAGGAACGCAACTTCTCTATTAGAACTTTCTCGATGCTAATTTAGTAACAAAGATAGTTAGAGCTTAGTGTTAATGTTGAAATTATTATATAAATGTATAATAAACTACAGGTTAATAATTTTCCAGAACCACTTTTTGTTTTTAAATTAATTTAACTCTTATTTATAAATAAATAAAGTGCTTTCACTAAAATTAAAAGCAATTAATGTTTTAATAAACATACCTAATGCATTCAACACTAACGCAGACGATCATGAATACTTATAATTATATACTCAAACATCTTTATTTCTTTAAAAAAAAAAACAAAAAAAATCGTCTCTTGTGTAGACTAGTCATAGATAAACACACACAATAGCAACAATCTTTGTTTTGTCAAATATTTAGCAAACTAAGCATATACGTATCGAATCTCTTATATGCCTGTGCCGATCTACAACTAAAACACCAAAAATTAAGGTACAGAAATAAAAGTAATCTTAATAATTGATATGCTTGCCTTTATATCAACATCGTGGAACGGTACAGCGAACCACGGCTTCCCCATCAGACTCCTCCGGAACCCGGCCTCTCTTTCCACAGGACCTTCAGGGGTACCGACATGTGCCCACAGAACCACTTGCACAACTTTCAAACGAGGATGCACACGCTTATAAACCTCTTCTAAACGAACTCCAAAATCGTCACTGGTGTCGCTTATATTCGCGAAAGAAAAATATATTCCACACACAGCGCCCTCCCCCTCTTCTACACAATCAGATAAACCTTCAAGGGTAGAAATATTTTCAAATTGTCCATTTTGAGTTCCAGATTCACACTTCACCAACACCTTCCCAAACAGTTTTTCGCGCCAATCCATTTTATTTGAATTTAGAATTTCGAATACATTTCCATAAAATAGGACACCGTGTGTTAAGTAAAAGCTGTTTATTTATTTAGGTCTCAAATCAAATATTTACACGTCTTTGCTGTAACACTGTATGTAAGTATAAAATAACAAGTCGACTATGAACCAAAATTATTTGCGCAACTTCACCGACAATGGAATGTGAATCAAACTTTTTTAAACCATAAACTTGACGTACTATGACGTGATACAAATGAGTTAGCAGTAAGTTTTTAAACACGTTATTTATGGCAGACAGGATGTGCAGCGGCGAATATAACTTTTATTTTTAAATTGGACACGCGTTCGCGTTGGCGGGTCGCAAGGTGCAACGGCCGCTCGCCCTCGTAAACAAAGGCAGACTGGAGGACGGAGGGAACGAGGGAGCCCTCTCTGCCTCAGACATAGAGCAAACATTGTAGAATAAACAGACACGTGAGATCAGAAAAATCTTTGCCTATATTTGCCTTATTTGAATGTAAATACGCCTCGTCGCTGGATTTGTTTGAATAACAATCATAGAGTTAAGTAACGACAATTTTTTTATTCTTCGTAAGGTTTTTTTTTCATTAAACCTAGTTAGCGTGACTGTCGGCAAGTTCAACTTTTTTATTGCTCAGTTCTTAATACAGCAGCATGTGATCCTGCGTAGGTATTAGTTGCAAACTAAAATCTTAAATGCGCAGTATACTTTTTATAGGCAACATAACTAAGATTCTTAACGTTTTCATTCTTAAATTATTTTTGCGAGATATTGTGTATAAATCATTGAACAAGATTCAATTTCTTGTATGGTATGATTTTTTTTATTATCAAAAAACTTACTGATATTAAGACTGAACTTAACACTCACTGAACAAGTGTTCGTGCAAACAAATACATTAGGTCATTTTGTATTAGTTTAATACAAAATGACCTATCGTATATTTGTTTGGACCAATTTCATTTGGACTCATCATCAGGAATAATTTTAGTTCAGACATTATCATAAGTTAGTCAACATAACAATATTCATTCTTTATTTAAAAGGGGTCCACAATTCGTTTTTTATTTATTTGTGTGTATGTTGCGATTTCTACTTTACCTACTGATGAGCCAATTCGAGTATTTTTTGGTTATTAAATAGCTTATCCCTCTCCTTCCTTTCTTTTCTTTTCTTCCCCTCCCGTAAAAAAATACATTTGTTTATGTTCTACTTACTGAACGTTCTAACCTTTTTTTTTGACAATGAGATTTTTAAATTAAAAAACAAATAATAAAGATTATATTGATAGCTGCTGCGTATATTGTGTAATCACTAATCATCCTTCACCATGCCAATAACATGTTTTTATAGCGAAAATTCTCCATTTGAAAATAGTCTTATGTTAGTTCCCAGTTATTCTTTATAAATTTTGCAAATGATCAAGTGCGAACCGGACTAGCACACAAAGATTTTCATACCATAGTACAAAAAAGATATTATATAAAACTATGTAGGTACTTTTAAATATTTTCGTGGATCGTGAAAAAAAGACAGGTGCTATAACCTGCCGTGGTGCTGTAGCCTACCTCCCCATAAAACTATGGTGAGGGCACTCTAAGGGGGACAATGTACTTGTGCATGTTCGAGTTGTAGATTTCCTTGGTGTGCAGTAGTAACTTCATCAACATCATCATCAACAGCCTATACTAGTCCACTGCTGGACATAGGCCTCTCCTTAGAAAGGAGGTTTAGTAGTAACTTACTCTCGTAATAAAAGTTCGGTCACAATTTAGTTCCGATCAACTTTCGATCTCACAACTGTCATAAAACGTATTTTCGTAGTATCCAACATTGACTGTAATGTGATTATACTTAGTAATACTTTACTATTTAACTACAAAAATACATTTTATGACAGTTGCGATATCGAGAGTAGATTGAGACTGAATTTTGACCGAACTTTTGTTATAAGAATTGGCCTTCTACTTGTTCGTCTCCTATATCATACAAAAAGTAGTTTGCGTAGTACGTTAATTTTGAATTTTCAAACTTAGCTTCTTAAGCAATCTCTTTAAGTGAGGAGACTTAAAAGCCTAAATAGAACAACGTCCCAGCGGCTGTTCTTAGTACGAACTGCTTACCATAATTATAAAAAAGAAAAGTTAGGTAAACATAACAAAAAGGAACTGAAGGAAATCAGAGGTAAGGTAGTTGGAGTGATTGCCATGCTTGCAATGCATGAAAAAAAAAAGACACGCAAGTCGTTGCATGAAATGGCGGGTAATATTACTTACATAATAGTTTAAAAAATATATATAACCTAGAAATGATTAATAACAAGCGTCTTGGTGACAATAGTGACGTTCTAATGAATTAAATATAAATAATTTATTTTATTTAAGCACTTTGTGTTATGTGTATCAAAAAAATAGATTTAAAAAAGTAGATTTCAAAACTGAAAATTGACGTTAAAATAAAATAAATGACTCAATACAAATGAAGATGAAGTTCGCAAAGGAATCATAGGGCATGGATCCTAATACATTTTACATACAATCATAGTACAAAACACAAGTTATAGTATTATGTATTTAGAGCCTTACACGAGAATTCTTCTCCCTGATATCTCATCCTTAACTTCTTCTAAATTTTATTGCTTCATCATTTACCTCAGAATTCGCTAGCACTGTGCAAAAGTGGCAATAATGTATTCAGTTTCAGTAATTTATTGTTATGAACACATTATGTTTGTACACGAGCGACTGAACATAAATAAATATGGCAGTTTCTATCTGTAGTAAGTAGCTAACAGCAGGCACGCATGTGCAATTTGTTTATTTTATCTATCGAAATGTAACTTTACAATAAAGCGCTGCAGCGTAGCTCACTGAAGCTATAAATACGAATTATTTCTTTCATAAATTTCATTACACGGTTAGGAGTCGGTAAGTAGGTTTTTTTTAAAACGACTACGGGATATAATATAAGTAACACTTATTACTGTAACACAGTTCATTACTTACGTTGTTAACGCTGATCTCTTTCACATCAACAGCATTTTATAGTCCACTGCTGGACATAGGCCTCTCTTTGCTATTGTAAAATAAATTAGGTGTACCTTTACCTTTTTAATGTAAGAAGGAGTACCTAACTTGTAAAAAAATTGTTCCTTAATAAACAATTATTATTAAATTAGCTTTTGCTCGCGGCTCCACTCGCGTGTATTATTAGGGGAGCCCATGATGCTAAATGGGGGTTTACTCGAGCGTCATGGGGACCTATTGCATTTGAAAGATTAGGTAATAGAATGAATAAAAGTCATAGATTGTTTCCACTTTCAGCAGTGGGAAAAGGTTCTACAGGTTTTCAGAAATGTAAGTGGAGGAAGTCGAAAAAAAATTGGGGCGCATCACATATTTAATTGGGGATATGTTATTTGGACACCAAAAATACTCCTATTGAAAAGTCTGACGATTTTAAAGTGACACAAGCTTATCGAAAACGCAAGCTGCAAATTTGAAAAATCGCCATTTCGAAATACCCGAACGTGCTAGATTTTATACAGACGGTTCAGCTTTATGTTCCTTTCACACTAGCCAAAAAAACAGGGTATTTTAAATCTGACGGTTTGAAATATTTTGATTTCTTGTAAAATGTAACACATAAAGGTACAAAAAATTATGTAGACATGCAAAGAAGATTTCTTCCATTGTTTGCTTCAAAATAAAAAGAAATGTCAAGGTCATGCGTTTTTTTATGTTTTTATGTTACGCTCAAATCGTCAGATTCTTTAAAATACACACTATGTGCATTTAATTGACTTAACTTACCTTTAATCTTACACGCTCGAGTATTATTGTCCATCATTTTTTTTAACTAATCTAATGGGCGGACGGTTCCCTATTTGTAGGGTTCATGTGTGGTGGAGGTAATCAACTGGGTGTAAGGTATTTCTCCTTTTTTTTTCTTCCGTGCGGAAATCCCCTCGGATACCACCTGTCGGTGGCATGTCGGACTCGAACCGACTCAAACCGCACGTCGTCTCGGGTACACTAATAGCCGGGGAACCAGGTATACCCTAGAAAGGAAGTCCAGACATACCTCGGGTCATCTACAGACGAGTAGACGACCCCCCCCCCCCCCCCCCGTGTGCGAACCCCATGTTCACTGGAAGCGAGCGCGCTTCGCAACGCGCTCGCCGCCACCCCGGCCTGCTTCTGCTAGGGTGAAAGGTATTCCTCCTATGTTAATCTGATACGCTCGAGTAAATCCCGAAATTTTAGGGACTCCCCTACTATGATATTATCGGTTATCGCGGTAAAACGTAGCCCATGCTACTCGCTGATAATGTAGCTTTCCATTGGTAAAAGTGTTTTTAAAATTGGTTTAGTGGTTTAGGTGTGAATGCGTGACAAAAAAACGAACACTGATTAGAAGTGATTCGAAGTGCCACTTCGAACCCCTTCTAATAAGTTCTTCTACGAGTATATATATTTATTATTAATTATCTATTACTTATCTTAAAAAAAAACTACTTTTTACCAGTCCCTGTCCAATCGCGTTGCTCCATTAAAAAACTTTTTTATATGCCAAATCCATATTCCATTTATACACTAATTTTTCATTGTTATATTGTACATTGTTATATAAATACAAACAAGCCTTATTGCTTTTTAAACAGTAGGTACTTGAATTCAATGTTTTGGTTGCCATACACATAGTCTCAGTGTAATATTTTCACTTCATCCTAATTATCTCTATAATATATCTCTACTCTATACCTACCATTATATACTAACTTACAGTAAGTAAGCTAAATAAAGTAAAAAAAGCTTGTCAAAAGAATTAACCGTATAATGCAGTCCAGCGCTTTTCGGTAAACAGCGCTGAAAGCCACTTTAGAATGATTTATATGACCGGTTTATGGTAAATCAATAGCGGCGCAGTGCTATCTGGGTTTTGTCGAGCTGTCAAATCAACCATATTTAATCTGTAGAGCCGTTCCCGC